TATGAAAGGGTGGTTTTGTCGCGGTGTCGAAAGCGGGTCAGATCTCGAGATTTCATCATCGTCGCAGACATTGCGTTATATCATCCGTAATACGAGGGAAAAAACCGGGCCGCGACGTTATCGATCATTGGTATACTATTTGACAGAGGAGGACATGCGAGCGCTGTGTTTCCGCTTCCTATGTGTCGTGCATCGTCTCGTTCAAGCGGACGCGCAACATTCTTGCTGCACGATGATTTCGTAACGTTGACGAGCGTCGGGAGCCGAGGGAATTTGAAGCGTATTAACGTGGAAAAAATGTTTCAGATTGCGCCTGGTTTTTATGACGAATTACATCACGATGCGACTCTCGGCCACTTGTCGGGATAAATGGAATGATTAACTTTTTGCGGTTGGAGATTTTTTGAAATGTATCGAACCTTCGAAAGAAGCTGAATTGTGTATCGATTGCTTGACCCTTTGAACTCTGTAGGCTCCGATATTGCACCAGGAATAATATTAGATATTTTAATGAATCTTAACAGTAGAACTACCGCATCAGTCAAAATGACTGGTTTCAAAATGATTGATATCTTCGAATTGAATATTCGAAATGGTTTTGAAAATAAATAGTTTCACTAGAGTACTATATTGAGTGTCTAAAGAAACTGAAAATAATCTGTTACAATTTTTATAGGAATTGTATATTAACCGTATTAAATGCTCGGTAGTTCTAGTGTTAAAGAAACTACCCTAAAATTATTCGATTTTCCACGCATCCAAATTTTGCACTAAGGAAAATAAAAGATTTAAGAAATGTTATAGCATTTCTCGTTTTCGCTAGGAATACTATAAATATTAGTTGCAATTGCTGATAGATTACAAAACCATCTGAAGTGCACAGGGTTAACCCTTTGAACTCGGGAGGTGACTCTCAGTCACCACTTGATTTCCTACTAATTATAATATATAATATTTAATATTATACTTCATACAATGCATCAATCTGAAAAATATTCACGTAAAATAGCTTTGTCCATCGATTCACGTGAATGTCTCGTCGAGTTCATTTTACAAAATATCGTCTCATCGGAAAATGTTGAAATATTTCTAGCGAGAAACTTCGGAGTACAAAGGGTTAATATCACCATCGATCCGATTCGATCGAAGATATATTTCCATCGCGTGGAAAATCGTTCGAGTGTCACGCTGGAAAACGATCGTTCCAATTCGAATCGGAGGAAAGCAGCTCGGGTAACATCTTTACCCCCGCGGCGAGACTCTTCTATCTCGAATGAAATAATGGGGGCGAGCTTAATGAATCCCGCTTCTGGAGCTACAACGCGACGTGAAATCGTTAACTTCATCGACTAATATCAGGTGCGGCCGGCCGGTGCTTAAAATCCCGGACGACCGAGGAGAAACTTTTCCCCTCGAGTTTCCCGGAGCGTATTGTTACGCCGACGTGGTATTCTTTCTCCGAAATTCCTCCGGAGAAAGTCATCACGCATCGGAATTATCTCGTCGCGCATGCCACTTAAGATATCCTGTCGTCTCGTTTGTCGTTAATTGACGCGAGTCAATGCTCGATACCGCGACAAGATGTTTCAAATACTTAGCGATGAACGAACGTTCACTTAACCTTTTATCAGCAGCAATTTAATACGTAACAATTGTACACGAAACAATTTTCTAAATTAAATTCCTTTGATCGTGATGATGATAATGGTATATACTTACGTATGTTAACCCTTTGCAGTCGACAGGCGACTCTCAGTCGCCATTTTATCGAGCTAAATTATGAAATGAAAAGTTCAGTATGAAATATTGATTGATTAACGCGAAACAGAAATAAAACAATTCTGCCCTATGATTTATGACGTTCCTTTGTGCGAGTTGCGAATAATACTGTTAATGTCCCGTCGGAAAATAATGAATGTTCGCAAAAATATTGTCGAGTGCAAGGGATTAATGTATAAAGGGTTTCTAGAAAATGGCCGTTCGGCCGCCATTGAACGCAGCGAAATGATAAAAGGAAAAATTCAGTATAAAATGTTGCTCAAGGTATTAACACGCGAAACAAATGAAACAATTGTGCCGTGTAATTTATACAATCTGTTCCTTTGTGTAAGTTGCAAAGAATATTGTCGATATCTCGAAAATAATGAATATTTTATTTAACGCGGCAAATTGTCCCCATCGCGAATCTCCAGAATGTGCATCTATTCAAATTTCGACTGCGTTCTATACCGTGACACGTGCATATATCCCCTGAATAGTTCTCGAAGGTAGTTCGCTAAAGAACGGTTTCTTTAAATATCGACTCGCAGCCTTGAGAAGGTCGAGTACATCGCGGATTTTCAACGAATTACGTAAATAATTCGTCGAAATGAACGAACATGGCGCAACAACTTTTCGCGCGCTACACGCATTTAAATAGTTACACGCGACCTTGCTCGCGAGGTATATCACCTACGTGTATTACAAGATCAATTAAAAAGCAGGAGGAATGTTCGACGCGATAGCGTCGAAATGAAACGTCTATAACCGATTCTTCAACGCTACGATACCTTTAACACTAGGTTTACGGGACGCGTGAAATTCACGCATATTGGATTTTAGAAATATTATTTTCTAAATGTTTACGATTTTGATTGATGCGATCACACTGACATGTACCCCAATTATAATGTATTTTAATACATAAAATTTAAGTTTTATAAAGTTACATAAATGTAACAATAAACCTAGTGTTAAAGAATGTAAAGCAACCTGGGAATATTATT